ACACCCATTGCCCAAAAAAATACAAACATCTGTTTAGCTGTGGTTTAAGCATTAATATACTGTATATTCAGCCTAATAAATGTGACATTTCAGTGAGCAGCAGAGAAGAAACCCATCCATGTTATTTGTTTTCAGGTATTACATCAAGGGCTTTTGCTGTGAAACTTCACTGACCTTCTGATATTCTCTTAGATTTACTAACACATCTGCTTTTATTATTTTTTCTATGAGAAATTAGTACATTAGTGGAGTGTCGTGCAATTAATTATTGGCAAATATTAGTACATTGCGATTCCTGTGTTCAGGGTCTTCTCTCTGGACTTTTTCTTCCCCTCTTTTGTTCCCTACACGCGCACAGCAGATATTGAGCAGTAGATTACATATGAAAGGCTCTTATCTCAGACAGCATTTATGCAAGGTCATTTGCAGCAACCGACACACACACTGAATAGCAGCAATTGGTTGACTGTATTGTAAAGGCCATATTTTTATCTTTCTGCCCGATTTCTGCTGTTTGCTTGTTTCATCCGCGAGAAGAAGATGGGAAAAATGGTGAGTGTCTCTGTGTGTGTGTGTGTGTGTGTGTGTGTGCGCGCGCGCACATCTGCTACCTCGCTACGTCTGTCTGACAGTCACAGAAAAAGAAAAATGTTCTGTTCTGTTTATCACACCCTTTCATATCAACATATTGCTAGAGGCTATGAGGAGTGTTTGTTTTATTTTATTTTTCTCTGCAGGGTTTGTAGCGTAATGGAACAAAGCTTAGCTCGATACCTGCAGTGATTACTCTGTAGTTGCCAAATGCACAAGTTGTTTAACAGTCTTTCATACAAATATACCAGTTTCTATTTGTGAACATATCCACACTCAAGCATGATTTATAATTTTGCCCCTTACTGAATGAGTAATTCAAAACCTTAAGGCCCAAATAGCATTTAGTTTATCTTGCCATAAACACAAAAAAGGTTCAGGAATGTTGTTTGCTGACGTGAGTACCATTGCAAACAAAATAGTAGTTTTTTTCCTAAAATGGGCTGCACACATCTAAAGTACTGTAGACTTCAAGTTTGCATTGGTTGACAGTTTGAAATACCTCCAGAGTAACAGTGAAAACAGACTCACTTTCGACTGGCACACTCATGACATCCGAAAAAGGTCATCCACAAGCTTAAAGGACTCTATGTTGCCCCCCGTCCTCTTCTCATTGGAGCATTATTCAGCCTATACTATTGTACTGTTCCAAGCACACTGTACTGTACTGTTACACAAGCAACACTACTAACACGATAATTGTTCTCCCCACACCCGATCTAGCAGAACTAAATATTAAGGCCATTGCACACATTGCAACCTCAATAGCACAGGACATCACACGCCCATTCAATCACAATCTTACCCTGCTGCCCCCTTGGTGCAGGTACAGAGCACTGAGGAGCATAGCCATAGTTTAAATAATAGGCCTTGTTGAACTGGGCATCCTGTTGTCTGTCATTGTGTGTTGTCACTGTGTGCTGTTATGGCTGTCTGACGTGTACACATTGCTGTGAAAAGTAAGTCTAAAGCCTGCATTGACCGTTTTTGCATTTAAACTCAAAAAGTTGCAATCATTTACTTTTTGTTAGTTGTAGTGTACTTGTATAAACTGTTTAGTGGCTTTGTTCTTAATGGTAGTGGGATTGTTCTAAATGGTCACACCTTCAGTCTTATCTGTAGTTCAGGTTGTGTTTTTGCTCCCTTGGTGCAGTATTGCATCTCAGCTGCTCCTTCTTCCTGATGTATGTGCTCTTAAATGTCGACTGCTTTACTGCAGGGTTCAGTTCCTAACAGGGCAATCTGTCCTCTGAGGTACTTGCCAAATCTGCATAACTTGGGTATTACAAAGAATGACTTACTGTAATTGCTCCTTTTAGCTGTACATCATATCAGGGTGGTTTGCTTGTCATAGGGATTTTCACGCAACTGTATTAATTATAGCACATTACTTAATATCAAACACCATTTAGATCCATATAGCGAGAGTGTCTACAGTTCTATTTTCACTAAATTAAGATGTTTACTTGTGAAATCATGTTAAACTTTTGTTTAGAGTATTTTGCCAAAGATTTTGCAGCGCATCTTTGTTGACATCAGACATAAATCACAGCAGGCCAGCATTGTTAATCCTATTGTATGTGATTATGCATTATGGACCAACCCAAGAAGACTTATTTCTTGTTAAGAAATAAGTCCGATTAAAACAGACTTAAAAGAAAAGAGCATTCTTTCCTTCAATTATCAGAAGTCCTGGTTTCAATTAGCAGTCTATACAGTAGCTTTTGATCACATTTGTTCATTTTAATGTGCATTGTCCTAGATAAAGCTTTTGTGGATTAATAGACACATTTCGTGGAAATCTGATCTGTGCTAAACATGGAACTGTGAACTTAAAGGTCCAGCATTTACACAAAGTATGATCAGATATATAGTACAAAGGAAGAGCACAGATTATGGTTAAGAGCTGAAATTATACAGTATTTAGTGCTATGTATGTGTTATACTGTATTAGGTAGGTGCACATATAAAACACTGCTGTGAACTGTTATTTTAAAAAGTAAAAGCTCCTCACTCTTGTGTAGTATGCATTGTGGTAAACTACCCTATATGTGTTTTGTGAATTTTTACAATGTTAAATTGATTTTACAAACATATCTGGACTAGTTAAAATATGCAGTTATGATATTGTGTCAGTTATGAAGAAACATTTTAGCCACTAGCCTAAAATCCAGAGATGTTTTAGGCCTGGCATTTTTCAGAACATAAGTTGATGGTTAAAAGTCAAATTTAAAGGCCCCCCAAAAAGAGTCCCGTGCTTAGCAGCGCCTCAAATATCCCCTCCTTATTAATATGCACTGCATTATGCTGTGCATTCTAGCATCCACTTGAAAGCCAATTACTGTTGAAAAGTCCACCACTTTCATCCTGCAATCTGCAACAACAGACATGCCTGCTAGTATGAATTTGGAATTTAAGTTTGCTAATCTTTACAGAGGACAATGTTACCTAAATGTAAAGAGAATGTAAATGCAGCTAAAAGAGTATTTGCATTATATTACTGAATATGGAAATTGAATGTCAATTGCAGATTTATGTTGACAAATATAACTATACTCTTAATATTGAATATTTATCATCAATCATCATCATCAATAAATTTTTGTTTCACTAAAGACAATTCCATTATTTATTACAGTCTCTTTTTTTATTGAGGTTTTAAATCATTGTTGAGTTACTGTGAAACTATGTATGTATCATATCAACTTTCCTTAAATATCAGGTTAGGTTAGTTCTGATGGGACACCTAATATCATGGATGTATTAGGTCAGCATATAGTCAACTCTCTGCACATCCACCACGCTCCAGTACTTGGAGATAGTCCCTTAGATATATAAGGGACTATTAATGTCTTTTCAGCAAACACCACTACAGTATACATTTTCTAGCACTCCTTACATGCATATTTGTTTGTGTGTTTACTTTATAGATACTATTCTACAAAGAGAATGAAGTACCGTTACCATATAGCCACATCCAAACTTGATTTCTGTTTTTCTGTCTTGATTTCAGTCAGTAATTCAAAGGTGAAGGATTTGTGGTTTGTCATTGTATGTCAGCAACATTGACATATACCTGGCACTGTTTGTGAATGAAGACACATTAAATCTCAGTGAAGGTCTCATATGTTAAATTGGCACAGCATCATCCATCACTGTTAAGTGTTTTATAGCACATTAATCATTATCAGTCATAAAGGAGTAGCCGGATTTTATACAAAGTATATGAAAGGATTAGCTAGCCTTGAGTCAGGCATCAACCACTTGTACATTCTAACATCTTAATTAAGTCAGTGACATTTTGACAAGGCATAGAACCAGAAATATTTAAGGTGTCATGATGTTATGACTTATTAAAAGTGTCTTGATCCTGTTTTGATTTTAGCTGGTACTGCTTCTGGGTGGAAGAAGCAAAAAAAAGGCTTCTGTCTTATAGTTTTGAAATTGCAATACCTCAAACGTTGTTCTAGTAGACCTATTCTGAGTCTTGGCATTCCCTGTCAAGTAAAAAAACTGATAGGCGGATTCAAAACCACAATAGTCTATCACTTCAGGCATCATGTTGCATTTCCTTCTGTGAGCATTTTTTAAATTGCATCTCGGCTGTGACCAGGTATGGTTGACACTGCATTTCTCAGAAGTTTACGGAGGACATGGTTTACACAGTTTTATCTGAAATGCATAGCTCTATAGTCTCGTGGGTAATGGTTGCCATGGTCTCTGCGCTTGGTTACTAGGACAGAATATTGATTTAATCCTCAAGGACTGTGGTCATATCCTTGGCAGTTCACCTATTGTTATGATAATAAGACATCCACGGGTGGCCAATGAGTGATAATCTTATTTTGGTCCTAGGAGAAATGAAAAGGTTTCTTAGAATGGTCTGGTGACATTTTAAGTCCAATAAAATAACCAACTCCATCACTGGTAGAGCCTGTAAAAAAAAAAAAAAAACCTAACAACTCTCGTGTGGTCATACACATTGAACCATATGCTAGGACTGCTTTAGCCAGACTATCAAATGCTTTTGGGATTAGTCCATCGCTTGGAACTACAAAAAATGTAATATTTAACCCACAAGAGAAGGTAATATAAAGATTTTAAATTAGATGGTTAATGAATTATTTATAATAATGAATACATTTAACGAGGTGGTTAGGTTCCTATATTTGCTTTCTTTTTACGTATTTGCGTTGTTATTAAAAGGTTAAAACTCCACTGTGTATGTCAATGCAATAAACATGCAACCTGTGGCATTCTTTTATGCGAGCAAACATGTTGGCGGCAGCGGCTGTTGGAACAGATTAGAGAATAACACAGTGAAGGTGGTGTCCAGATTGAGAGACTTCCCTTGTGAGCACAGACACACAGGCAAAGCAGCCATTCAGCAGTGGGATGGATCCTGACTACTAAAGAGGAAGAGGGAGAGAGGGAGACTGAAAGAGAGAGTGAGAGAGCAAGAAATGGGGGAGTGGTGGGAGAGAGAGAGAGGAGGCGAAAAAGAGCGTGAAAGGCTCCACACGGCAGAATATAAATCTGTATGTTAACAGGACTAAAGCTGGAGGTCTCGAAACAGCTTTAGTGGCTGTGCTGGTGGGGGGGTGGCCATAAAACATCAAGAGGTGGTCTTCTCTATTGACTGAGGATCTGTGCAAATAAGGAAGTGGAACCCGTGGAAGCTGTGAACGCCGGTTGTCAAGCACAGTGGTGAGCTGGTCGGAGGTCTCTGACCCCCTCATTTTCCTTTCTCGAAGAGAAGAGAAGCGCAAAAGAGACACGAGAGAAAAAGGAAGGTGGCAGCCAGGGAGCAGTGAGCCATTTCTCTCTTTATTACCTCCATTCACAAAACCATTGCATCCCATTATCACAGCGATGTAGAGGCATTCTCTCCGATTAGAGGAGGAAGGGTCCCATTGACTGCTGAGGCTTAGCACCTCTCTCCAAACGCTAGCCCTTTTCATTGCAGCCCCCCTCATCCCTCGCCTCTATCCTTACGTCTGCTATTTTATCTGTTCTTCTCTCTTTTCTTGTCCCTTGTATTCTTGTCCTTTTTCACACCACTCAGGAATCAGGAGGCATTGCGTTTTGGTAGAAGTGGGTGTTTCTGGAGCTGTCATTGTGTTTGGTGCCGCTACAAAGAACAGCTGAGCAGGGAGTGAGAGAGACAGCTTTGGAGATAATAACATAGCAGCTTGAAAGAAAAGGGGGGACCTGGGACTACAGGAACAGCTGACAACCACTGGATGGTGAATTGTGATGAAAAGAAAACTGTTACAGAGACTGACAACCATTTCAAGGTAGCTGTTTATTGAGACCATTACCACTTCTTAAGGCAATAACGAAGCAGTGTGCTAAACCAACACTGCCGGTTGGGTTCTGCTATTGCTGTTGCTAAGCAAAGTCTTTAACCTGAAGTTCTTGGGGAGACAGTATTCAGCATCACTCTACAGCCATGAAAGGGAGCTCAGAGGAAAGCATTGAAAGCACCAGGCCCTCCAACCTGCAAGCTTTTGCTAACATATCCACCCTACATGGCATGAGTCACATATTCGCCTATGGGCACATGACATTTCGTCGATTTCTTTGGACTCTTTCCTTCCTTGGTTCGCTAGCCTTATTGATGGTGGTCTGCATGGACCGAGTGTCATATTACCTGGAGTATCCTCACGTCACCAAGCTGGATGAGGTGGCGGCAACTAACCTCACCTTCCCAGCTGTTACTTTCTGTAACCTCAATGAGTTCCGCTTCTCCAGAATCACCAGAAATGACCTCTATCATGTGGGAGAGCTTCTGGCCCTCCTGAATAATAACTATCAAATAGCCAACCCACACTTGGCTGAGCCTGAAGTTCTGGCTGCCCTAAAGGATAAGGCAAACTTCCAGAACTTCAAGCCCAAACTGTTCAACATGACTGATTTTTATAACCGTACAGGTCATGACATCAATGAGATGCTACTGCAGTGCACCTTTCGAGGAGAGGATTGCTACCCAGTGAACTTCACCACGGTAAGTACTCATGTGTGCATGCTTTCTTATCTTAACATGCTGAGATTCTGCAAAGTATGTTTGCTGGTCTATTTCCTGCCAGACCCGAAAGCCTGTCTCTTTTATGTCCAAATGAGCTTAGGCTGACTTTTGGCTGGCTTAAATGCATTTTCATACTCTAAAAGTCTAGTGTTAATGCCGTGGTTGTTATCAGTGTTGTCAGCGTTTGCTGTTGTTGCAGGTGTTGCATTGTGTACTATAGTTTATTCTTGTGCTGTGCTGAGAGCAAATAGTGCATGCATCTTGTGATAAGGGTAAGGTCCTAAGGTGAAGTGCTGCAAAGATTTCCCACTTTTGCTTCTGCTTCCAAGAAGAGGGAAATCATTTTTGTTAGGTGTTGTGTATCCCCCATATCTTGAGGAAATACTCCCCCCGCCCCACCCCCCATTAGGTGTCGTACAAGGGCAAATAGGTAATTTAAGCATGCAGACAAACATTTGTTTTGGTATATCTGACAGATGCTTTAATAGCATTGTTTAAATCGAACTTCCTAACTGATGTTGCGCTGTTATGAGGTTGGGTTCAACATGCTGTTGTCATTATTTGCCTAACTTGTTTAACTTGTTTTATCAATATCCGTCATTGCTGCTCTAAATTATATGTTAAGTGTTTTTCCACAACAGTAGAGGAAACAATGTAATGTTTGTTGTGTTGTTTGAATCATGAACAAAAATTATTTTAGAGCATTCAGAAAAGGTGCTGTGGTGCTGAGGTATCACCATGCAGTCATACTCTGTGCTTTGATTCATTCTTCATTACATTTGGCTTTGTATCCAATTAAGCATAACTCTTCATTCACCACATAGTATGAATGAAGTTCACTAAACTGTAGATGGTTTACTTTTAGTTTGTTGTGTTATCAATGAGTCCTCATTCATTGAAGGCCATTGCACGTAGCTGATAATTGCCTATTTAATGATGAAGTATTATATTGAAAAGTAGTTTGAAATAGACACAGTAACACTGTAGTTTCATGTGTTGATAAGAAGTACGGGAATATATTAGTTATACTGTACAAGAGACCTGGATCAGGGTGATATCATACAGTATATCATACAGATCTCAACACACCCAGGTACTGCAGCTGAATTATAATATACACTGCTAGACGTGACTGTATATTTAAAAAAAGTGACACACAAAAAGTGTAGGTAATATAAAAGTCGGTGTATCGTACATTAAGATATCTCTCCAAACGTTTTTCCTGCCATGCGTCTTGTGCTCTCTTACTGCCATCCTTTACTTCCAGACCATTTTATTTGAGTGAAATAGAGACACAAAAAGCAGTACGCAAATCACTCCTTGGCTTAGCTGGATTGCCCATTATTTTATAGAAATCAGTAGTACTGAGTACTGTTCACCGGCCAAAAATGATTCAATAATAAAGGTGCAGTCTAGGGATAGACAGCACAGCAAAATCACTTGTTTCTGTTTCACCTCCCATTTGTAGTTAGAGACACATTATTATTCTGTTTTTGTGTCCTATATCCCATCTCTTAAAGTGCATGTTTTATGGAGTAACACCTAACTTCTCTCAAGTGAGTCTGTCCACTCTCTCACAAAAATACGATTTCTTATCTACACCATATCTTTAAAAAAACTCTGAAAGAAATCCCTGCACAAGGCCAGTTTTTAAGTGACTGACTCTACAATCTTCAGAGTTGATCAAAACTCTACTCCACTGTAGGAGATAAAACACTAATTTAATAATGCTGTTCAGTCTTTTTTTCCCCTTTCAATTTGTGTCACTAATAATGTGAATTGGGAATGTCCCCATTTACATGTTTGTTTCCAAGCAGCACTCAAGAGTGTCTTGAGAAACAAATCATTCATGGGAAGCTAATTGCCGTTGTATTGCTTGATTGAAAGTTCTTGCAGTCAAATGAGCTAGTGGAAACAGTTAATGAATTTGGGTTTGCTGCATGTGTACTTGTTTTTGTTGGGCACATTTGGCGGTCCAGCAAACTGTGAACTTTCACCTGGCAGTGAATTACTGGCTTCAGATTTGAATAGGCTTGTTGATACCCATCCATCACTGTGGTGTGTTGTTTGGATAGAGTGGTTAAAGCAGCACCACACCATGCTGCGTTATGCTCTCAATGGGCAGAAATGTGTTTATCGGGACTTGGAGGGGTGCCAGTATACCATATCTAGCAGAATGTTTGGTGCTGCAGTTGATAATAATCTCACACAATTAACTGTGAAAATTGAGGCTTGCTCACTAATAAAGTAACTGAGTTCATAACCCCTTTCATTGGGGAAAAAAACATCTTGGCTGCTGTTTATTAGAAATGAAATAAAGCATGAAATCAGGACACATTTCTATTATACCAGGTTCTGTTTTTGTTTACTTTATCTACTAATATGTGTTCATGCTGTTTTCTTTTCCAAACACAGCATCACTATTCACTGGCACTATCCTGATATTTAGATGACTACTACAGGAAATTTTCAATTACCCCACAGACATGCTGAGAGGAAGATTTACAATGCAAAGGACTGTGGGAGTGATGAGCTTTGACCTTGAATAAATGAAGGAAGAATTCCATTAAGTCCGGGTTATGAAGCAGTTGGGAAACAAAGCATTCAAAATGTTTTGCATTGTAATGGATGGGTGGGCAACGGGAGAATGGCAATTTGTATTTCCAATGCTATTAACCACTTTAATCCCTCTTAATGATTTTATGTTACCAATGTCTGGAAAAACTGCGATTTCTCGTGTTGACCATAGCCCCAATTTTTAAGAACATTTTATACCACAAGTTGAAATTCAAAATAGCCACTTGAGCTTGTTAAAACATGAAACGTTATCAAAGAAGTTAGCTCTCTAGCGCCCTGTCAGTTCTTAGGTCAGGACAAGCTGGTTGAATTTTTAAAATGTTTCCAGGCCAGTTGTTATCTTTTTATAATTTTGTGGTCTTTAGATGAACATATTCTGTAACCTGTGGATTCTTAAGCTTGAATTTCTTCCACCGTGAGCTCACTCTTCAAAATGATGAAACAGATTCAACACAATCTCTTTGGTGATGTATAAAAATCTACCTTCCAGTCTGACATGAACCAGAGTTCAAATCTTGTCCTGAAATCTCACAAAAGCTGCTTTCCATCCCTACTATAATAGTAATCCTAAAACCTCGACTAAGGCTTTTTCTGTTTAAATATCATCACATCATACCACATAAATATCAGGATTAACCCAGTTCTCTCACCATATTCACAGTAATCCACCTAAATTGTTTAATTTAACTTACTGGGGATTATACATGTTCGTACAGCAGATTCCTAAAGTGGTATTTGATCTTAAATGGCTGTATTTCTGTCAACAGAAATTACCTTTATCAATATGTATGTATTTACTTGCTGTGGCTCTGAACAGCCACATGACGCTGATAGCTTATGAGTAACGCTGTATGTGAATGGCACGTCAGTCGATGACAGTAGAACTAGTGAACAAAAGGTTGATTATCATAATCTGATAATGTATATGTAGCGCTCCATTCTTAAGTCTTGACAGGTCATGACAAGTCTCTCTAGGCTACATTTCTGTCCATTTCTTACAGTGTGTGTAAAATCAGTATTCATCATCACATTTTGCTGAAGCTCAGTCTTTTAAGATGTGAGTTGTCTTTCATCTTATCATCCAAATGACAGCAGGTGCCAAGGGGATGAAACATGGCTACAGTTGAGACGAGGCTGACTGACACAGTGTGACTTGTGGATCTACACATTGGATATTTAAAAGGTCCTCAACATTTGGAGGCTCCTGTCCACTCTAAACAGATTGATGCTAGAGCCAGACGATATTTCTGCAGCACTAAAATGATCTTATCACATATAATGAATGTCAGCAGTGATGTATATGTTGACTGATCTGAACAAATAGGGTACACAGTGCAGTAAAACACACTTTTAAGTACTTTGAAAACAGTAATAAGTTTATTGTTTGCAGTGCAAGATTTTTTTAATCTGCGGCAGCTGAGTTGGCAGAGTGAAATATCAGTTCAGCAGATGGTGATGCAGATTCTGTTAATTATAACTATACTGTAATGATTAGCTGTAAGAAACCCTGCAAAATATATTTGTAGGAGCCATAATATAACTGATTGAATAATTGGATCAGCTCTCATTGGGTTAATTCATGGCAAGTTCTTTAAATAGGAACCAGTCGTCTGGTCAGGTGGTCCGCCCAGTTCACATATGTTTAATGGACATTGGCAACTGGCAAGTTTGTCTCGGACTGTGATTCATCAGACATGGTGATCAGTGTGTCAATTAGGTCATCTGTGTTGAGGCAACTCAGTTGGCTTAGCTTCTACAATATCTATGTCCCAACTTTCCCTTGTCCCTTGAAAATAGCATGTCAGTTTATGAATATCAGCCAGTAGGTATATTTCTCATATATATAGACATATTGATGGTATAACTTAATTATTAATAATTAATATCAGTGCATTTTGTTTGAGTGTAGCAGTGCCAGGACCCTGGAACCTGAGTAGAATGGAGCCGTTATTAAAGCAGCATTAATAGATTTTTGATTTACCTGAGGCCAGGGGATCAAACTAAAAACCTAAAACTGACATATTATCGCCTGAAAAAGTTGTTATGGCAAATGTTTTAGAAAACAGTTGCATATTTCCACATGCAGCAGACACTGAGCATTCATTTGAAGTTGTGTTTCTGGCCATTGTATGCATATACAGTGGGTACGGAAAGTATTCAGACCCCTTTCAATTTTTCACTCTTTGTTTCATTGCAGCCATTTTCCAAAAATCAAAAAAGTTCATTTTATTTCTCAGTAATGTACACTCAGCACCCCATCTTGACAGAAAAAAAACAGAAATGTAGAAATTTTTGCAAATTTATTAAAAAAGAAAAACTGAAATATCACATGGTCATAAGTATTCAGACCCTTTGCTCAGTATTTAGTAGAAGCACCCTTTTGATCTAATGCAGCCATGAGT